TGTCCAGGTTACAGCTTCTGGCCAGAATTTTGCAGGTACTAGAGTGTCTTTGAGCATGCACCTCACCATGTTCATGGTGGTTCTGTTTTTCCTTTCTGCCACCCCATTCTGCTAAGGGGTTAGAGCTACTGTTAGCTGTCTCTTGATTCCATTTGCATCACAAAGATCCTGGAATTCATTTAACAAGAATTCTCCTCCCCTGTCTGTTCTGAGAAACTTAATTGGTAGATCAGTCTCCTTTTCAACCTGTGCCTTGAACTTCTTAAACCATTCTAGTGACTCAGATTTAGCTGCTAGGAAGTAGACCCACAATTTTCTACTGAAGTCATCAATTATGGTGAAGATATACCTTCTCCCCCCCCCCCCCATTTGAAATGGGTGTGATGGGTCCACAAAGATCTGCATGGAGCAGCTGAAGCTTCTGTGTGGTCCTCCACTGGCTGTGCTTTGGAAAAACCAGCCTGGTTTGTTTGCCCACCTGGCATGTAGAACAGACTCCAACCTTCCCCTTCAGCTGAGGTATGCCTGTGATGAACCCCTTCTGTGTCACTTGGAGCAGACCCTGAGGATTCATATGACCAAACCTCCTGTGCCAAAGGCTCAAAGAGGTCTTCGAGGTATCTTCAGTTTGGATCCAGTGAGCTTCAGTCCTGCCTGACTCATCCTTCAAAACAAACATTCTGTTTGATCTCATTGTGGTTTCTAGCAGAAAACCTCTTTCTTCATGATAGATTTTGCAAGTATTCCTCTTCACCATGAACTCCAACCCCTTTTCCTGCAACTGGCCCATACTCAATAGATTGGTTTTCAATCCAGGCACATAGAACACATTGTGTACAATGAGATTCACACTTCCCAGCTGCAACTTGACTTTGCCTTGGCCAGCAACATCCAATCTGGTATCATTTCCCAGTCTGATCTTCCCAGCTTGAGTAGCTTCAAGAGATTCAAACCATCTCTTGTCTCCAGTCATATGATTATTACAACCAGAATCCAGGAACCAATAATTGTCCATTCCTTCTGCTAGAGGTTCTTCCAGGAAAGCCATCAACAGAACATCATCAGGAAGAGCATTTCTGTCATTTTTGTCACTGGAATAGGCCTGAGAATAGTGAGCTTGCTGATTTGAGTACCAGTCAGGGCATTCACAGCGATAATGACCTATCTTGTGACATTTGAAGCATTCAACATGCTCTCTATTCTAGCCTCTTCCTCCTCTTCCTCTTCCCCTTCCTTGCCACACACCAGTTCTGCCTGCTCCCCTTCCACCTCTACCTCCTCCTTCATAAGCCATTTTCAGGGCCTGATCTTCCTCCACAGCAGACTTCCTATGAAATTTCTGCTCATGCACCAGTAAGGAACTCTGCAAGGCATCAACAGAGAGTGTTTCTATGTCCTTGGACTCCTCTATGGAGCATACACCATAGTTAAACCTCTCAGTCAATGTCCTCAAGATCTTCTCTACAATCTTAACATCAGGCATCTCTTCCCCACAATTCCTCATGTCATTAGCCACTACCATCACTCTACTGAAATAGGCAGAAATAGACTCACCCTCCTTCATCTCAAGAACTTCAAACGTTCTCCTTAATGCCTGCAACTGAGCCTTCTGAACACGAGCACTCCCTTGGTATTTTGTCTTCATAGCATCCCAGAGTTGTTTAGAGGTAGCTTTGTTTGTGATTGTCTTCAGGATGGACTTGTCAATGGAGCTGAACAGGTAATTTTTGGCCTTGAGATCTTTCAGCTTGAGGTCATCCAGGTTCTTGGCTTCCACAGCAGACAGTTGAATCCCAGCAGGATGATCAGGGATTCCCTCACTGACCACTGACCAATACTCCTTGGATCGTAGGAGATTTTCCATAAGCAGGCTCCAGTGATCGAAATCACCATCAAACTTTGGCAACCCCACTTGAGCAAAGCCATTGTTATCACTCATGTTTGCATATCAACTCACAGCACTCAGAAATCACTCACCCTTAAAACACCTCACCAGAAAACGCTCGTGTTTCCCAAACCCAGATCTTGCACTTCACTCTCACTTTTCTTGACCAATCACTCAAAAACTTTTGCTTGAAAGCAACAAAGGTTACAGCTTGCTAATGCTCTGATACCAAATGTAGAACACTGTAAAATGCAATCTGACAAATTCTTATTGACGATGAAGTGAAGAATAAATAGCTAGGGTTGAGCCACAAAGTTCGGCCTCAAACACCTTCCTCGACTAACAGCTTACCTACTAATCAGCTGCCATGATCTTCACTAACAGCTACAAGCTAACAAACTCAACGGTCAAATTTGACCCTAATAACTAGACTCAAAGCAACAGGTACTAAACAGACACTTTGCCAAAACGCACGTATTGGCTTTATTGACAGACTCGAACCCTAAACGGCACCGCAGCAACTAATCGACAGAGGTCTTCAGTTCAGCAACAAACGACGTCGTTGTGGCTAATTCTCAGTGGCCTTGAGTAGTCCGAATCCGAGAAGGACAAGGACTCCAGCTTCAGTTCACAATCCAACATGGGTGGCATAACACCTTATGATGATTAGTGTTCATTATAAACTTTGGCTCATTAGATATATCTTGTTATGGGATGCAATGGATTTTGTTTATATTTAACTCTTACACCATATGGCTAATAATAATAGGGTTAAATACATTTGTATATCCAAAACTTTCACGGTTGTGCCAATAATATCCAAATTTCCCAAAATACCAGTTATATCCAATTCCTTCACATTCTTTAACGGTGTTTTTGGATATACAAGTGTATTTAACCAAAAATATATTGGGAAATGGATATATTTGGCAAAGAACAACTTTAAAACATGGATATAAGTGGTTTTCGGGAAATTTGGATATTATTGGCACAACCGTAAAAGTTTTGGATATACAAGTGTATTAAACCTAATAATATTGACTTTTAAGGAGGATCCCTACTATCAAATGAAGAAGAAGAAGTATGAAGTCACTCTGCAACATCCATGGTTGTGAAGACGACGAAGAACAAAACACCAGGCATAAAAGTTTTGTTTATGCCTTCTCCTCCACTTACCATAAGTAGATGATCAAAACGACATCGCAACGACGTTTACTTAGTGTTAGGTGGAACCAACAGTAGCCAATACAACGAAGACATATGGTTGTTCTATTTAATGTATTTTGAATTGCAGTTTATCGAATTGTAAAATTTACTGTTTGTCTTTAGCTTTACACTTTTTTCTTAGTATATAAGAAATGCACCATAGAATGACTTTGAAAGCTAAGCATAAGATTGGATTTATAGATGGACCGACTCCAATAATGGAGTTAGCATATCCTAACTATAGTATGTGGGATGAATGTAAAACCCTTGTCCTGTGTTGGGTCATGAACTCTATTGAAAGGGAAACTAGAAGGAGTTTGATGTAATATGTGGTAGCTAAGAACTAATTTGATGAATTGAAAAGGCATTTGGTATACTAATACTATCAAATTGTTTAATTTACATGTCATTGGTTTCAAGCAAGGGAATCTAACGTTACACAATTTTGCATTGTGTGTTAGAAACAAAGTTTCTAACGAGTTCGAATTGGGGAAATTAGCTAGATCTATTTAGGGATTGGGATTGGGGAAATTGAAGAACAAGGAGAGGGGAATAGGGATGCTGCTGCGGCAACTTTGGGAGAGGAAGAGGGGAGGGAAGAGAGAGGGAGAGTAGGATTTTAGGTTTTTTGTTATTTGATTGCTTAATGGAAAAATAACACCCTACTGCAGATTATATAATCCGCATAATTCCTACCTCCTACCCAACTAATAAAACGTAACAATTGACTCCCTGTTTATTGCCCGAATACCCCAAATAATCCCCTAATTAACAAAAACCGACAATAATTCGAATTAACCAAAAGCTGCAAATAATGTGTTTCTAACATTGTGCTTAAGGGACCGTGGGAAGAATATTAAATATATACAGTTTTGTCTTATTGTCGAATGTGATTGTGTTCAACAAAGAATTCGACCTTGTGCAACATTAGAAGCCTTCAAAAAGAAACATGATGTTGATTATCTCATTTACTTTCTCAGAGGTTTGAGGCTAGAGTTTGATGTTGTTCAGATTTAGATTCTAATGATAAAAAAATTTACCAACTGTTGAAATTGCTGTGAATCATGTGCTTCAACATGAACAAGAGCTTAAAGGTGATAATGGTATTAAAAGAGGAGTTAAGACGGTGGTTGTTGTTGTCCAAGAAGATCAATCCAAGCCAGTAGATTCATCATATGGCAAGAAATTATGTAGACACTACAGGAAAGAAAGGCCATAATGGAGGGAGACATTGCAACAGTAGTATCATACTATCATAGGGAGAGTCAACTGCAGATAGTAATACAACAAGCTCAGATTATAAAATGAGTATTGAGACTTGAAATGTAAATTTTTTTTGTTTTTCTCCAAAAGAGCCCAACAAACTCAAGTTTCTTCTTCAGATAGTACCTTCATCAAGTCCTTCACCTCCAACTTCACACTCTATCAATAATTTGACATTCTCTGTTACGCACAATGTCTCACAATTTCCTAGTTATGTTGGTAGGTATATATTGTCCTCATTATTACAGCATAAAGCATAATCTCTTGCTCATGCATGTATTCTTTACACGGGAGCCTCTAATCATATTATTTGCAACATCAATTTGTTCATAAAAGTTGTCTTAGTCAATGATCAATTTGTATTTCTGCCAAATGGCACAAAAAGGATAGTTGTTAGTCACATAGGAAGAGTATAACTAACTACTGGTTTAGTTTTTGATAATGTCTTACTAGCGGATAGCTTCACTTCAATCTTATTTCAGTTAGCAAATTGACCAAAATAACATCGTGGCGATGTTTGCTTACCGTTACGTATGTGGATCCAAAAACAACAATTATAGTTATATTGTGTCGGTGGTGGAGTCAAGAGTTGAAATTAGACATGTCTTTTAAAAAATATATATAATCAAAAAAACTAAATAACTTATTCATAGGGATAAAATTACCGACTAATGCAATTGTCATTTTCATGAACAATCACGACTTATTTTCATATTCTGAAAGAAATGTAAAATACTTTTATTATTGGGGATTCGAACTTGTGATGGTAAAGATAAACTTAATAGAAATTAAATTACAAAGGAATGAGTTGCATTATAGTGGCAAGATGTTGTTGTGTCGTGAATTTAAAGGTGTGTTGATTCGATCTCCCATATATACAACCTTAGGAGTTGATTATATTTTTATCTAAAAATACTAAAATAGGCTTGTCTTGTGACACACATAATCAGGCTTGACTCCGCCTATGTATCGTGTCCTATCTAAGGTTAGTTTAGAGTTGGTCCAGTAACATCATCTACGTGTGAATATCTCGACGGGTTAATTGCATGGTTGGTCAATGAGATTACAAAAAACGTTCATGTTTGGTCACTAGAAATATTTTTAAATCCAATCTTGGTCACTTAAAGTAGTTAAATGGTTCGAATTTGGTCACTCCCCGTCCAACTCTGTTAAATTTGTCTGATGTGGCAGTCAACCCTCAAAGTTGACCGTTAAGTCAGTTACGTGGCAATTAAAAAATAATAAATAAAATAAATTTTAATCTTCTACCATTTCCAACTCATTTTCACAATAAAATAAAATAAATAAATAAAAATTATTATAGTTACACCATGGATCTGGGTTTACTGAAAACATAGATTTGGATCTTGAAGAGGAACTCACCCTGTCTGGATATGCTTGTTGACTCGAGTTCCTTTTGGGGCTACATGATGGTGGTGAAACGCACCTCAGCTCCCACGGTGCCTAGCCTATGCGGCTTTAATTTTAGAACCGGGAGCATGGCGTCGGTGAACCGGACCCCATCGGTGACCTGTTGAACCATCAGTAGGGAGTTGGTCGGATCCGCCGTGATGTACGTGGTCTGGGATTTCTTTGAGGAGGCGCGTGGCTTCCGCTTGGTGACCTTTCTGGTAGCGCCGGGGGCCGCGGAGAGAAGTTGATCCAGCCCTAATCAAGAAAGGTAGGATGGACAAACACGTTGAGCTCTTGTACTGCATCTTCGAAGCGTTCGGAGTGTTGGCCAAGAATTGCCACCTGCTGGATGACCACCAACTGTTCGACAAAATTTGCCAGTTACTACAACAAACTAAGATGACCACGGCTGACGTTGCAGAGCATTTGATGCCGAAGACCGTCCCGCCGAATGTAGATGTTTGCTTGAGTAGTCCGGAGCAGGGCCTTGAAGTCGCGGAAGAGGAGGTGGCGGCGAGATCGAAAGTAGAGGAAGAAGGAATGAACAAGGAGGAGAAAGAGATTAGTGCCGCTCAGCGGAGCGCCCCATTTTCAATTTCTAATTATAATATTTTTTGTTTTATTTATTTTACTTTATTGTGAAAATGAGTTGAAAATGGTAGAAGATTCAAATTTATTTTATTTATTAGTTTTTAATTGCCACATCACTGACTTAACAGTCAACTTTGAGTAGGGGTGGCTATTTGGACCGGGACCGGATTAAAAACCGAAAACCGGACCGTATAACCGGGACCGGATAGTAAACAATCCAATCCAATCTTTGGGCTTAGATTTGATGTAAAAAATCGGATAAAGACCGGATAAGAGAGCTCAACACCCAAAACTTAAGGGTAATTTGCATAAACGGTCACAAACCTTTGCACTTAGTACAAAACTTAACCAACTCCTCACCCTTTAAGGCCTTAGGCCACTCAAATCCCACAATCTCAATGTAAAATCAAGACCGAATTGGGACCGGACCGGATCAAAACTGGACCGGATCAAGACCGGACTGTATCCAATCCAATCTTCGGTCCTTATATTTTCAAAAAGACCGGACTGGACCGGATCAATTTGGGCCAATTTAACCGGACCGGACCGTATAGCTACCCCTAACTTTGAGGGTTGATTGTCACATCAGACAAATTTAACGGAGTTGGACGGAGAGTGACCAAACTTGAACTATTTAACTAATTTGAGTGATCAAGATTGAATTTAAATATTTTCAGTGACCAAACATGAACATTTTTTATAATCTCAGTGACCAACCATGCAATTAACTCATATCTCGACCTACCACCAATTTAAGGAGTTCTTGAAACATGGATATGATCAATATATAGTCATGTAATGGTTAGTAATATTCACTACGTAGTTGTGGTGACCATGAATGAACTTTTCTTTTTTATCTATGAGTTTGTAGCTTAGGTTGTATAATTGACTAGTTCTAACAGAACGCCAACCTCTTGTGTGAAGAATGTAAAAAGATTGACGAACCACTTAAAAAATCGTCTCTAGCCATTATCAATAGGGTTGAAAGTTTGGTACCGGTATTTGGTATATACAGAATACCGTACCGAATGTACGTATTATTTCGTGGGGATTGAGATTGGAATTGAATTTCAATTGTTATTCGGTATTAGGTATTACGGGATTGGGATCGGTATATACCAAAATACAGATCAATACCGAAATATAAACTAGTGTGTATTTTATCCTCTCAACTAGACTCTCTCATTCACTACTACGCGACCCTCAACCACGAAGAGTGTCATTTAATTATACATAGATCATTACATCACTATTTCACACTAGTATTTGTCGTCTCTCAACCTCAAATTCGTAAAATTAAAGATTACCAATTACAAGAATTTGAGATGTTAGCTCTATGCAACTCAAGACTTTTGTTTAGTCTCTTTGCCCTAAATTAAACAATAAAATCTAATTTATATATTTTACTATTAATTGCAAAGGTAATTAGTTTTGTATTCGATAATACCGGTTGGGATACCGAGGTACTAATTGGGATACCGAAATATTTAGAAATTGAGATTGGGATACCGAAATTATTTAGAGATTGAGATTGAGATTTATTTATTATGTAATTCGATATTTGAAATTTCGGTATTTGGTAATGGGATACCGATATCGTACTGATTTCCACCCTAATTCTTGGTTAACGGAAATGGATGCCATCAACCCATCCGTCCATCACCTAAGGGCATCATGAGATGGACCGCCGACGGTGAATCAAGCAAAGCAAATCCCGGGGAATCGGCCAATTTGTTCCCTGTTTTGGATAAATTTTTGGTATATATTTTTCCCCCTTTTTTCTGCTAACTTGGAGAAACAAATTAGGAGATTGGTTGGGGTTTTTTTAAAGGAAAAAAAAGGAATATAGAAGAATTCGAAGGAGGTTGTCCATTCGGGTTCGGTTTTTCGGATTTATCGGAAACAGACCCGATTAGATACATTTTCGGTTTTTCGGGTTCAGGTTTGTTTCGTGTTTCAGGTTTTTGGTTTTGGGTTCGGTTTCACCTATCAGTTTTTGGATTTCGACTGAAAACCTCCAAAAAATAGCACTCAGCCCGTATCCTTAGGCGTTCGGGTCTTTGGATTTTGGTTTTGATTTAACCAAACCCGAACCCGATAAGAAATTTTCGGGTTTCGGGTAACCAGAAATCGAAAGTCCTTAGCGGGTTCATTTTTAGTGATTTTGGTTTTGGGTTTCAGTTCAGGTAATCGAAGCCGGCCCGAACGGACACCCTAATTCGAAGGTAAATATTGTTAGTAGATCCGCCTCTGTCTCTATGGTTACCAACCACGTCTTTTTTTGCGATGGACCTAAAACGTGCTCAAGATAGAGTCAATAACCAGTGGTTACTCACCCATAAGTAACTAAATATGGACCTTTGGATTTAAGTGAGCTCAGAAAATTCAGATCTAAGGGTTGTGAATTAAAGATATTTTATTTCTTCTAGTTTACTTAATCGGCTCTTATCTTCTTTATTCTATCTTGGATTTCAATTTTTTTCACAGATGGAACGAGTTCGTTGTGCTCTACAAAATGAGATCAATTTTTAATATTTTTTGAGATTTTTTTTTTTCATACCTCTCATTGCCAACTCCATACCATATGGTATCTCCTTTGTTTTTTAGTCATTTTTTAAAATATTTGCACAGAAGGAACGAGTTCGTCATGATCTTTTGGATCTACAAATTTCTGAGTGAAAAAAATACAGGATCAAAAAATTCCATACTATACCACCCTGGTATGGGGTGGTAACTTGTGGTACACAATGATGAAAGTCGTAAATGACAGTTAGTATACTTCTACTATCATGTATTCAACCATCCTACGGTCTTGATATGTTCATACCGACATGGTATGCTTTCATACCATATGGTATGCTCTTATTTAATACTACTCAATACCACATAGTATAAACTCGTAAAAAATGCCTTGATTTTTTTTGTTCTAAAAATATATCAAAGTGGATATCATTTTGAAGAGCACAATTAATCAGACCTAAAACGAGAGAGAAATCGTCCGTTAAAGATTAAAGGAGAAAAGATTAAAGGTTTTCCATAAGAGAGGATATTGATGTCATGCTGATGTGGACTAGTTACTCACAATTAGGGCTGGAAGTTTGGTACCGGTATTTGGGATACACTGAATACCGTAACGAATTTGTCTAAACCGAATACACATATTATTTTTTGGGCTTGAGATTGGCATTGATATTCAATTGTAATTCGGTATTAGAGATTACGGGATTGAGATCGGAATATACCGAAATAATGATCAATACCGAAATATAAGCTAGTGTGTATTTTATCATCTCAACTAGACTCTCTCATTCACTACTACACGACCCTCAACCACCAGAGTGTCATTTAATTATACATAGATCATTTCATCTTTGTTTCACAACTCAGAAATCCCCATCCAACTCAATTTAGACTTTCCAATTTAAGTCACTCTCATCTCTCACTTAATCACTTGTTATTTTCATAACACCAAAAAGCAAACACTAGTATTAGTCGTCTCTCAGCCTCCAATTTGTCAAATTAAAGATTACCCATGGCAAGAACTTGAGATGTCACCTCTCTTTCATTCTCCTTATCCATATCCTAGCTATAGGCAAACTCAAGATTCTTTGCTTAGTCTCTTTACCCTAAATTAAACAATCAAATCTAATTTATATATTTAATTAATAATTTTAAATATAATTAATTTTGTATTCGATAATACCGAATGGGATACCGAAGTACCGATTGGGATACCGGAATATTTAGGGATTGGGATTGGATACCGAAATTATTTAGGGATTGGGATTGACTTTCAAGTGTAATTCGGTATTCGGGATTTCAGTATTTGGTATTGGAATACGGGATACCGATATCGTACCGATTTCCACCCCTACTCACAGTTACTGACCCTAAAGTTACTGACTTGATCCGGATCCCTAAAACATGTCTAGTTTTTTTCAGATCTATTCCAAATAGAAACATCAAGATAAGACAAAATATATAGGACCTTTGCAGGTTAAATTATAAAATAGAACTAATAAAAAGTTGCAGGTCAATCAATTGATGATCCGATGATAAGAGAGTTTTTTTGTCATGGACAATTCTATAGAGGAAGGTAAAACCTAAATCTAGGAGAGTAGATTTCCACCAAACGTGTGCACCAAATCCTTCAAGTTAATCATACAGATGATCGCTTGCGCATCACCACGTTATAAAAACATTAGTTGCAGAATGATAAAGGCGTCGTTGTAGAGCATCCCTAAGTACAAGGAGCTCAATAATAAATGCATCGTCCATATAATCATAAACCATCCAAACACAAATTCAACGGAGTGCTCCACAATAAAATTAACAAAACCTATACCACCTCAACAGAAGTCTTACGGGTCGTTTACTTGTTGGTTTTGAAAAGCGAGGGTTTGATTGAAACCTGGTTTCATGATGGATTTGGTTTATTATGGATTTGGAATATAATGTTGTTTGCTTGTTAGATTTCATGATGGATTTTGATGAATTTAATTTGTAGTATAAAACACAATTTACCTTGTTGTCTTTATTTCTCTATTGCTATTTGCTTTCATTTAAACCAAGTTTTACCGATTGAACATGATTCCTAATCAAAGTAGACCCACTTTAATCTTATCAAAACTTAGTAAGGAAAAAAGAAATAGTGAATTAATTAATATTTAAGGAAAATAATGGATTTCAAAGCATCAAGTATTTGAAAATAATCTTCATGCATAGTTCCTATATATTTTTTTTTAAGAGACTATGTGTCTAGCAAAAGTGACGCCTCTGGTATCCTCCTGAATAAGCAGGAGAAGCTCATTAGGGGGTATCTCTACTTCATGCATAGCGTAGGGATAGACGAGACTGTGCTTCGAGAGCCAGTCCGCGACTCTATTTTCTTCTCGGTATACGTGAACTAGATTCGCTATCCAATCTTGAGCAATTTGTCGCCTGATGGCCGTTAAGAGGGCTGCATAAGGGTGTAAAGGGTCTGATCTATTGTTCACAAGTTGAATGGCTAGCTGAGAGTCGATTTCCACGATGAGGGTTCTACATCCGTGCTTCCACGCCAACTTGAGACCGTGATATGTAGCCCAAATCTCCGAACATGTGGCTGCATCTGCACAAGAGCCCAAGCCAAAAACAAAACCACCAATCCATTCGTTGTCGGTATCGCTCAAATCACACATAGTTCCTATAAATTACGAATCTTCTTAAACATTTGAAACCATAATTAATAACATGGGGTATTGAGGGTAAAAGGGTAATATAAAAATAAAATGGGATATGTACGTCAGTTACCATGATGAATATATGTCCCTTTCTCAAATCACACCTCATGACGAAGTATTTTAAAATCTATGGCCTAGACGATTTGGAACCTCCAAACGAGTGAACCCTAGGGATTTGGTATTCCAAATTTTTCAACAAACA